GAGACAACAACCTTCTCAACCTTCTCGCCGAGGACCTCCTTAAGAGTCTTGGCCAAACCTTCGAAGGCTTTCTCTTCCTCCTCACGCTGCTTCTTCTCTTCCTCGGTCTCCTCAAGCTCGAAGTCTTTGGTGATGTCCACCAACTTCTTACCATCAAACTCCTTAAGCTGAGTCATGGCGTACTCGTCAATGGGGTCAACCAAGAAAAGAACCTCAAAGTCCTTAGCCTTGAGAGCGTCCAAGAACGGAGAGTTGGTGACAGCCTTAAGTGATTCGCCAGTGATGTAGTACATCTGCTTCTGGTGTTCCGGCATGCGAGTGACGTAGTCAGACAATGAGGTGATCTCATCACCAGACTTGGTCGAGTTAAAGCGAAGGAGCTTAGCAAGCATGGGGCGGTTCTGGGAATCTTCATGGATCCCGAGCTTAATGTTCTTGCTGAAAGCAGTGTAGAACTTGTCGAATTGTTCACGGTCCTCGGCAATCTCATTGAACATCTCGAGGGTCTTCTTCACAAGGTTCTTCTTAATGACCTTCATGATCTTGTTCTGCTGGAGGGTCTCACGAGACAAGTTGAGGGGGAGATCCTCAGAATCAACAACACCCTTGACGAATCCAAGCCATTCGGGGATCAAGTCAGTGCAGTCGTCAGTGATGAATACGCGGCGAACGTAGAGCTTGATATTATTCTTAGTCCTCTTAGTCTCGAAGAGATCGAAAGGAGCACGCTTAGGAACGAAGAGAATTGCGCGGAACTCGAGCTGACCCTCAACGGAGAAGTGTTTAACCGCAAGATGGTCCTCCCAGTCGTTTGAAAGGGACTTGTAGAAGGCAGCATACTCCTCACTGTTAATGTCAGAGGGGTTGCGGGTCCAGATGGGCTTAGTCTTATTAAGCTCTTCCTCCTCCTCTTTCATTTCCTTAATCTTCTTAGTTTTTTTCTCTTTCTTCTCGTCATCCTCATCAACCTAAAAGTGCGTTAGAAATAGCCCAAACCGCATAAATGGAAATGGAAATTCCTAACCTCTTCAATCTTAGGCTTCTTGTCATCACCGTCCTCAACCTTGGACTCTTCCTCATCCTCATCAGGAACTTCCCTCTCGACCTCCTTGGTAACATGGAGGTAGATGGGGTAAGAGATGAACTCGGAGTGCTTCTTTACAATCTCCTTGATCTTAGCCTCCTCCAGGTATTCTAGGAGACCGTCCTTGATGTGCAAGACGATCTGTGTACCACGGCCAATGCGGGGACCGTCGGTCTCGTTCTTAATTGTGAAAGAACCACCAGCGGCAGACTCCCAAATGTATTGTTCTAATTGAGTTAGTTGAATAGTGGCAAATGCGAAAAGCAATGAACCTACCGTCATCGTTTGACTTAGTGATAACCTCGACCTTGTCAGCGACAAGGTAGGCAGAGTAAAAACCAACACCGAATTGACCAATCATGGAAATATCAGCACCAGCAGAGAGGGCCTCCATGAACTGCTTGGTACCAGATCTGGCGATGGTACCAAGGTTGTTAACAAGGTCAGACTTGGTGAAACCAATACCAGTATCACGACTAACAGTTAATCATGTTAATAAGAGCTGAAGCTATAGAGGAACTATAGTAGGATCATACATTGTGAGTGTCTTAGCCTCCTTGTCAGGAATGATATCTATCCTAAGGTCCTTCTCATGCTCGAGTGCAGATGGATCTGACAGAGAAATGTAGCGGATTTTGTCCAAGGCATCAGATGCATTAGAGATCAACTCTCGGAGGAAAATTTCTGAAAACAAAGTCAGAAAAACAAGGAAGCAATGCTTTTTCTGGTGATTTTGACTTACCCTTGTTTGAGTAGACCGTGTTGATGATCAAGGAAAGGAGTTGGGAGATTTCGGCCTGGAATTCAAATGTCTCAGCCATTTTTATGATTGTTTGCTTTCTATATCAAAAGAATTTGGTTAGCACATTGGGGTTGAATGAAGGGCGAAAAATGATCCAGCCATCATTTCATCAAACTCATTGCGAGTGATCTACAGAGTTGTGTGATAGGGCCGGGCAGCAAAAGAAAAGTGCGGGGCAGGAGGATAACTCACTTTCTCGACTCTATGGACCTCTAAGAAGCACGCAACTGAGATGAAAGTTGAGATGTGAGAGTAAAGTAATTCAGGGAAGCTTGGGAGAATAGATCACTGTTGAGAGGGAGAGGAGAAGGAGGAGAAGTTGGGGAGAGGAAGGAGAATTTAGAGGAGAGTCGTTAGTGCCAAGAAGAGTAGATTCTAGTAGCTTCCACCCAACAAAGCCGCAGGGGATGCCCCACCATGCATACATGTACTGCCCCGCGGGAACAACTGAAAGAGAACCTCACAGAACCTCAAGAGGTCTGTTCAAGCCGGAACGGGAAGATCCGTAGCCATAATTCTACATGCGAGTTTAAGGCTGCCAAAAAAAAAAGATATTCGACCCTCTTCGACCGCGTTAGTGTGTTCGTCAGCCCCGCCATCTTATCTTATCGGAGAGGTACTAGTACATCCTTGCAGCTTTGGATTGCTCCACAAGGTTCTTTTTGTTTCTAACACTTAAGGCGAGGTTCGGCCTAGCCAATGAGCTTTAATCCAGCTAAGACTCAAACTTCTGCCTAATCTAACAGCTAGCTGATCGAGTTGAAGGTACAGTCACTCACGGGGTGAAGGCGGATCCTGTCTAATGGCGGTCAGGGATTTGAGGCCAATAGCAGAGTTAAGTTTAGGACGCCAAGAGTAAATTACCACGGGCACAAAGGATCCGCCGTCACTAGGTGAGCGACTGTAGCCGCGTTCAGGATGAGGCTCCGTCCCAAGGCTGCTAAGCTTTCTTGGCAGGATCCAAATACACAACCTTTTGATCACCTAACCTTACGCATTAAAAATCAACTTGTGATTTTTAGTACGATACCAGTCATTGGATTAAGGCATGGTCCTCGATCGTGATATTTCTCATCTGTCAAATTGTCATAAAAGGTTTCGGTGTCTATATGTAGCCACTAATCCTGAACACATAGCTAACAAGTTACGTATACGTAGGAGATGGAAATCTCGAGTTATCAATCGGAGTGGTTGTGTTGCTAGGAGACGTTGAAGTATTGTGGGTTTGAATGAACACCGCAACGACAGACCGGCAATACAGGGGGAAAAATATAGAGAAATAAGCCGCAAGGCGGCTTGCCTGTATATTGGACTGATTGATATACGTATAGTACCGGCCGAAGGCCGGAAACCACTTGTATGTAAGTACATACATGTACATATAGCAAAACCTATCATAATTCCACCCTCTTGAAATTCCATCCCTACCAAACTTCCAGCGGTTAGAAGGAACAATACCTGTAGATTGCTAGTAAATTTCTCTCTCCAAATTCCATCACTACCATAGTTCCAGCAAAATTCGGCCACCACGGGGGTATAATTATGATAGGTTTTGCTGTACTTGTACTTGTACATATGTATTCTCTCGCGCTAGCAACCATCACCGTTTCCTTAGACCCACCAAACACCACCATATTTGTGTAACCACGGTAATTAAAGCAGAAAATAATCACTTTTGAGTATAAAATAACTATGACTGCAATACACTTGGTTCTAGCTATTGGTTGTGGCTTTATAGGGTCTCAAACTTTGTGGGATTGAATGGTCGCCAGCGCAACAATTGGGACAATACTTAATTTCACCCCAAGCACATGTATGGTTATAGTAGAAGACAGCTGAAAACCTAGTCTCGTGCCCAGCCTGTTTTTGCTTCGATTCTGCAACACAATATAGTCTGGGAACGAGACTACTGAAAACCTAAAGGTACAGTCACCTTCCACACCGGATACCTAAAGGTCACATATCTACCATAGCGAACGGGTTTAGTAATCCGAATCTGGATTTGATACAAGTTTATCTGCGGTATTGAATGAATATTTAGGTTCGTTATAAGGATATTGAAAGGCAGCTATGCCCTTCGAGTTCCAGCTATTTTTTCAGCTAGAAAATGCTTTTACGGTCATGTTTCTCAAACGGACCAGCTTATCCACTAATAACGTTTTCGACCTAGTACTGTGTCAGACCTAGAAGTGTGTCGCATTGCAACGACACTAAAACTAGTCGGAAAAAAGAAGGCTCTACAACACCATAATAGAGGATAGTTCATCTGGAAACCATTCAAATGCGCGTGATTTTAAGTTTGATTCATTTCTTAGTAAATAGAGACTTTGCGCAAATGGAGCCAGCTCTATATTTTGATTATCTGATTGGTTGATGGTGTGATCGCCACCAATCAGGTTGTCAGAAAATGGAGCTGGCTCCATTTGCGCAAAGTCTCGAATACCTCAAGAGGTGGTGGAGATAGCTTTGACAGCAGAAATCCCCATACTAATTTGTGTGGGATTGACACCCTTCTAGGTCGACACGGGACCCGGTCTAAAACGTTATTTACCCTTGGCGTCCCAAACTTAACTCCCTCACAGGATCCGCCTTCACCCCGTGACTGTAGACTGTAGTCAGACTGGGCCAGAGCCAGAGCCAAGATATCGCTATACAAGGCTCTGGGATTAAGTGAGCGAACTAAACGGGGTGTTTATAGATGAAGATTCATTCACTCACTTTATCCCAGAGCCTTGTACAAGGGTCTGGCATTAAGTGAATGAACAAAATTGGGTGTTGACAGGTGAGAATCCGTTCGCTCACTAAATCCCAGAGTTTTTTTTTAGTAAATCGTGCTTGGCAACTATATTTTAGTGGTGTGTAGACCCAGCTCAGTTCGGAAACTTAGAAAACTACGACCTTTTTGCCGCAAAATTTACGCCTCACTATTCCTAAACTACCTAGCAGCCCATCTTTTTGGTGTTGAAACGAGAGCACCTTTCCAGTTGTCACCCGCCATAGAATTAAAAAGACATGTTTGCAAGCTTTATAACTCCTTTCAACTGTATTTTAGTGTAGGTCGCTGTATGTAAACTCTTTCACAATTAATTAGGTGTATATTTTACAAGTCAACCAGGCCGCATGGCCCAATGGCAAGGCGCTTGACTACGATTCCTCATTCATGACTTGCGAAATGTTGGGGGTTATCAAGAGATTCCAGGTTCGACCCCTGGTGCGGTCAAAATGTGGTAGTTATACTCCGCGTTTGTGTTTTTATAGACGCACCTTTTTAAGGGAGGATCGTGCTCGCGAACAAAACACCGGGCTAGCGCCTATGTTTTGATCTTTGCTCAACAGTTCGTAGACTTCTCTTTTTAAGATTTAAGTGCGACATGATGCGTCTTTTAAGATGTAAACCAAAGACTGAAATACAAAATTATATTCACATGTAACGCCATTTTCATGATCAGTCCTTACAAAATACATGTAATAAGGCTGATGAAACCCGAGTGATACTCTGTGCAGATGAGTGCATCTAGAGTTACCCTGATGGCGCACAGGGCAATAACCCTGTGACTGTCGTCCACATTCTAGATAACACTCCGCCGAAGAAAAGTTCGCGACAATCGCCTCCACAATTAAGCCTATCGACATTCTTACAGAGCGCAGGATATACAAACTTCTTTGCGCATTCTAAAGAACACTCAATTCCAATGGCCCCAGTCACCGTATGTATACACCACACCGCTTTGCTGGTCACGGCCGCCTGCTTTTACAGGTTGGTTGATGATATTTGATCAGTAGGCTGAGTGTCATGAAATATATAGAAGTCCACCGCCGGAAAGGCCACCAAGAAGGGAGGAAAGCCTGAGAAGGTTACCCAGAAGGTAAAGAAACGATCCGTCAATTCCTGCCTGAAAAATCGACGTGAGACCAACATACTGATCCCAATTTTATAGTTTGTCATCAATGCGTCCCAGCCCGCATCTGACAAGATCTTCGACGTTTCCGCTTTCGAGAAGTTCCTTCACGATAAGATCAAGGTTGACGGCCGTGTCGGTAACCTCGGCGAGACCATCCAAATCTCCCAGGAGGGTGATGGAAAGATTGTTGTCATTTCCCACATTCCTTTCTCCGGACGCTACTTGAAGTACCTGTAAGTTTACTTCCTGCCTGTTACAATACAATGAATGTTTTACTGAGTTTCTTAAAATCGATAGTACCAAAAAGTTCCTCAAGAAGAACCTCCTTCGCGACTGGCTCCGTGTCGTTTCCACCAGCAAGGGTGTTTATGAGCTTCGCTTCTTCAACGTTGTTAATGATGGTGATGAAGAGGATGACGAGTAAAGGATTGCGACGGGCTTGTCATGGTATCGGAAAACGATGTGTGTATTTAGAAGTAATCTTCAGCGCCCATCCCCGATACCATGGGCAGAGTGTATATAGTTTAAAACACCATTTCCTCTGAATCGTTTTACTGATGCTATTGATATCAATTGTCGTTATCCTACTTACCAATAGTTGAGGTTACATTTTCCCTGATTCTTCGGCTAGTTTCATACTGAACCTGTAGGTGCTCGCCGCGCAAAGGCACGCGAAGGCCATGAACCTCATAAAAGTATTTATATTTGTATTTTTATTTCATGGCCTGCATTGTTCTGTGGGCGCTCATGCTGCATGTAATTAAGGTTGTGGGCCTTACTATATTTTGTATTTAGTTGGTTGGTTGTCGAACTCCATTGACCGAAGTAAGAATGCACCTATCCTAGATCCTTCCCGTCCCTAAACTGCATTAACCTTCCATAACGATACTTGTATTTTATACGGACGCGGTCTACTATTTATAGATCAACAAATTCTGCACAGGATTTATCTTAGTATGTAGGCACATACCACCTAACCCCAGTGGGATATTTCTAAATCTATCTGGGAAAACATCTTACGCCCGAACTCCGACGTCTGAACGTCTCTCTTTAATCCTACTGTTCGCTCTGCGGACTGCTTAGGCCCAGGCACAGCTTTACACTAGATACACACAGGAACACATCGTCCATCGTCGAGATCGATCTTCAGCGCTACTAGCTAGTATATGTTTGAGTTTGAATTCAAAGCAATGCTTATTGGGCCAAAATACTAATCGTTTCCAAGAAATCCGGCCGGTGAGCTTTAGATCGATTATTATTAACTACCTACATAAACGACATAGCTATGTAGCGCGGATATAGACTCCTACCAGTTGGAACGATAACAATTTGACCCACCTTGACAAGGTAATCTGATCATCTGCAGCCTTGCAATCAGCCCATATTGGTTGTCACGATGATTCAAAAGAGGTCACCGGATACGAATACTAAATGGCCAGCTAAGCCAATTTCACTTTTCGATGTTTGGGAATGTCTTTTTCCTAGCCGTCAATCAACTAAATGCCCCATGCAATTAATGAGTTAAACAAACAAACAAAAACTAAATGCCCCCAAAATAAGAAGTGATATGCCCAGATGTAGAGATCCCTAATGATATAAGTAATCAGGGACCAAGACCACAGGAATGCACGTTGGATGTGGAACGGCTTCACATTGGTCCCCGGTTATCATTTAGGGCGGGGGAATTCGGTTGGGGTTGTGGACTGCAATAACATTGCCAAGAAAGATTCATATTATCACATTTGTTCGATGACGCAAATTTACCGCTGTATCGTTCGTTGATGACATAGTGGTAGACCTGGTTGGTTTATGTATTTTACATACCTACTGTGGAGCCAGGTCCCGTTGCATGGAATAAGATCACCTCTGGAGACTTTTTGCGATCCGGGGAGCTATGCAATCGATGGGAATAACAATTGGCCCATTCGAAAGCAGGGGCATTGAATAGGTGCGTAGAGTGGGATAATTAAGAAGTCACCATTCGCAGCATGGTGTCTTCTCACTTACCCCTGCACCCGAGGTACCTACACGCCTTCTATATTACCTTCGATATAACTTTGGGAATAGATGTATGAAATTACTGTGCCCCTGGATTATGTCAACTAAGCCCGAGGTTTGTTGGCTTAGACCCGGACTCGTGGGAGGCAAAAGAATGGAAATATCTTCTGCCAATAACGCTTGTGATTTGCCACAACATAACACACAGCTTGTAGCCTGTCACGAGTACGGTTCCAGGGTTCCAGATCACGATCAATTCAAAGATCTTCCATTGACATGCCTGTACAAATTATTCAAGCACGAGTCAGATTTGTATGTCTACCGGGGCCGGGTCCTGTTGATTTCGCCTATTTATTAGTGGTACCTACTCTGGTAAGTGGAGTTATCTACCCTGCAGATTATTGCGCCATAGAAAAGAGTGGGGAGGCTGACATCTTATCTACTCTACCATATCGCTGGTAAGTTCGTCGGTTTTAAAATTCTAATATTGTCCTATTAGAGATTGTTGAAATTATCTCCCCTCTCTGTGAATGGGCATTAGAAGCGCACATGGGTGCCATTAGTCCAATAAACACACCGTTCCTCCCATAGGTATGTATGTCATTTTATAGCTGCATATTAGTTGGCCGACAGGGTGCCTCCGTCAGGGTGGACAAACGGGCATGACACTTGCAGCAGCAGTAATGCAGCAGGTAGCCTATATCATTATCATGTAGAGTACCTTGGCGGGTGCGATTCCTACAAGGTTAAAACTCGAAGTTAAAGGGCGGCAATGACTGAAGGTTTTGGGCAAGTTCCAGCTGTAAGCAGCGATGAATGGTTCGGAAGGGGGGGTTCTGGAGCCGGTGTCGGGATGCAACAAGGCGGCCGGGAAGAACATGCGCGTGAAAGCCGTGTTTACTTTCTCGACCTTCTCACAGTTTCACAGTTTCTGTCCCTGCCTCACCATTTAATTATTTTTTTGTTTTGCCGATTTACTTGGCAATACTCCTGATATGGGCGAAAAGAAGAGAATTTTCCGATCTGCAACAAAAAAGAGGGGCTGAAGATCCGGCAACTGAATGAATTATTTCAGGGCTCGATTGATCACGAGGTAACTCAATTGAAGCACAGGTTTAAAGCATGGGCCTAAAAAGCCTTTCTAACCGAGTTTGTTTATTGTTTGATTCGGAAGACTCCCAGTCTTCTCAAAAGCGTTAAAAGGAAAATTTACCCCACATATTGGTGACTCTAGGAAACAAAGTGATCCGTCAATTCTGCGGAATTAAACTCTAGGCTCCCATCCCGCTGCCGAGAGTCATGATATCTCAATACAAGAAAATGCGTTGGCTATGCCTGCCCCCAGATATAAAGAATTTCTATTGAAGACAGGAATATCTCGAGAATAATAGAACCAAACGCCTTTACTTTGTAAAAAGCAACCAGAATGGTACATTCACTAGCCGTAAACGGCTTATAGGTATTAGAACTCTCTATGTGTCTCAACTTATTGTATTTTTTTTTGTTTTTTTGTTTTTGTTCCCTCAGAAGTCTAAATCCTTCCTCCACGATCCTCGGCTAGCCGAAAGCGAGTATCATGATGGATTTAGCAGATAGTTGATGCTAGCCACGCGCCGTTTGTCGATGTGACTATCGCGAGTTCGTGCTTCGTCAACGATGCGGATTTCGTCGGTCTTGCGTTCTCCGATGAGTCCTAGAAACAGAGAAAAACATAGCCAAGGTCAGCTCCATATTCGGACTGCCCTTCATAAAAAGAAGGGCCAAGAAGTTAAGCTTAGGAAAGCCAGACGGCTAGCTCGCTTCTCTTTCCGCTTCTTTATGGTTTGGTGATTCCGATATCGTCTCTTGATGATCCAGACAATCTCGTCGTCCTTTCCGTCGAGCGCGGGGAATCGCCTGACCAGCTTCTGCTTCAGATTTGCCAGATTCTCCTCCGGGAGGGCCGTGAAGCCCTCGTAACCACCGGCGAAAGCAGTCCAGTCAACGTTTTTCCGTAGAAACTCCTACTGAAGGCGTCAGCGAGAACCGAGAAAACGGGCAAGTTTGCTACGAGAAGCAGAGAAGAATAGAGAGAGAGAGATACTGACTCGTATCTGGGAATACGCGCCTTCGGAGATTCCTAGACGCCTGAGGATTTGGTCTTTGGAGTTTGCCATGAGATGGATTGATGGTAAAACCAAATTGAGGCGGGGGCGGGGGACCGGAGAGTCGGCGGGGTTCTTTTCTCAGCTTTTGCCAAGGCCTAAGGCTTTGTGTTCGCGAACCAGTCATATGGAAACTGGAAAAACAGGCAAATCAAAGAGGAGTGTTACATTAGTGT